ACTCTCAACACTTCAACCTTTTAAAGCAGCATACAGACGAGCGAACCAAACAGTTTGCAAACCATCTGCAGACAGTTTGGTTCGATAGTCTGTACAACACTGCAAACTGTCTGGCGACAGTTTGGAAATTGCTCGGAACAAGCCGATCGATGTCGGTGAATGAGCGAACCATAGAAGGATTCCTATGGTGGCTCGTGTAGATTTGAGGTTGGGTTTGGGATAAAAATATTTTGCTCCGGGCGGTTTGCGAACCTTCCGCAGACGGTTTGCAAACCGTTTGGTTCGCTCGTCTGTACGCAGCTTAAGATCAGGTGATAATCTATAGCTCTTTATAGGAGTTATCTCTTTATCACCAAAGTGGTAATGTGTAAATACGAGTGGTTTCATAATAAAATTGATAAAATGCCAGCATTTTAAGGTACAAGCTTCTTTGCATACACAAACATTTCCGTTATTTTTTTTGACAAACATGCGACAAACATGAACTACCTACTAGCAAACCTAAGATCTGGCAGGACTGAACTACTGAGAGTGAGTTGAATAAAAGCTTGTATCGAAAGTCAGAATAGTTTCACAGTAAAAAAACTTCCAAATTCCCTCGAAGATAAGCTCTGTGTAAAACAAAAAAATTAGAAAAAAGGCAAAAATAGTTTTTCTTCACAAAGGAATTTCTGGTTTTCTGCAACTTCAAAAAGCTGTATCTCTGTGTATTTTGCTCCGATTGAGCTTCGGCTTGCGCTATTTAATTTCTCATATTTTTTCTCTACGAATCCATCAAACAAAAAATAGGTGTTTTGCACTAGCAGAACTGATTTCTCGCACGTCGCGTCACACACTTGTATTGAGTATTGACTTATACTGGGCTTACTTCAAGGAGCTCACAACGCAACCCCTCACACAGTTTTTTTGTATGAATTTTTTCCTATTCTAAAAGTGCGTCTTCATTAATTCCATTTTCTTGTCCACGTTAAAGAATTTCAAATCAAAAGGATCCATTTTAGGATCTTTGTTCCCAATTTCAGGAGATATTTTGCCCATGGAGCAATTCCATCCATACTTCTTCAGTTCTATGCTGTTGCAATATAGATGAACTTATTAGAATCAGCGATTGAACGTTCAATTACAAGCTGCATGTCCCCAAGATTAGCACCCTGAAGATGAGATAAGCTGAAAATGAATCCGTGACCTGGTACCGAAGGCATAATTAATTTCTATTTGCGCCTTCCCCACTCACCGGCTCACACAGCCGAATGACCTTTTGTCGTTTAAATTTTTTTTCTCTTTCGATTCTCAATTTCATTCTACTCCAGTAAATTTTCTTCCAATCTACGTCCAATTATACGAGGCAATTAATACCGTCTGTGGCGCAGCGCGCACACAGATACCCACGAAATTCATTTTCGAAGTGGAAAAAAAGTACGGCAACTAAAATCTTAGGTAACTCATTACCCCCATCGCATCTTTTGTCGTGTTTTATTGACCCAAACGTGCTCTAACTAAGTGCTTTTTATGTTTTCTCCACTTCCGGTTTCGAATTTCTTGCCCCACGTACGACGCGATCGCGGCTGCGAGTACGCATTTACCCGTGTACATATTACCACACGTATAGCTACTCCCACATGAACACACGCACGTCCATCGATACACAAAATGGGCGAAGGGGGTTGCGCACCGCCATCAGCGACCACAAATATCCGTTTAGTTAGTACAGCCTATACGGTCTTAGTTCGCCTTTGGACACGTGAAATTCGAAGAGAACCAAAGGGTGAAATAAGAACGAAACCCCAACCCCATATGCTCGAAAAAATCGACCACGGATTAATGGACGCAAACCAATGCTTTTAAAATCCTTTGGTTTGCCCTCCTCTAAGACCCAATCGCACAAAGTATATGAGACCCCTAGAACTAGTGTGGTCCAAGTCCAAAAACCAAAAAAATTGAGTTGGGGTGGCATTGCTATTGGTGGGAACTTTCACCTGGCAAAAGAATTAATCTGAATTCTTTCAATTTCGACTAGATATGACCTCTTGAAGTTATGTCCACAGCTGAAAACGTGTTTGTAATGAGCGCAAGTGGTGTACATCCACTCCTATATGAGTTTTTATTAGTTTCCAGCTCGAAAATAGAAAATTTTCAGGTAAAAAATTGAAACAAAAGAAGTCCTGAGAATAAAATATCGGAGAAGTCGATTGAAAGCTGAAAATCATTTAGCGTCCGTTTCCAGCTTCCTACTTTGTTTAGCTTCGATTCATTAGTTGAGAAAATTCATGATATTTTCAGGCAAATTTGAATACCGGTGTTCCTCTGAATAACTCAAGTCATCACACACGGGCACTGTATTTGGCTTCTTGCAGATGGAATACCGCGTAAGCTTGGCTAAGCTATGAGCCTAATTTTCGCTGGGCCATGTCGGATAAATTGTTCGGGCATAACCTGTTTTATGTGCTACGTGCAAATCAGGTGGAGTCAGATCTGAGATCTGTGGCGGACTCAGCTCCGAGTTCTCACAGGCTTTATTCTATTTAGTTGAATGATTTTTTTCTTGAATGTATTCAAATATTGTTGCACGAGTCTTTCATCATTTTG